CCCCCCCCCCAATATGGGCCTTGAGGTTCCCTGTTAATTATTGGTTTCCTTACTTGAAACTCAGCTCTTTGGTTGAGAAGCCTGCTCTTATAAGTATCTGCATGGGTCCTGTAATGTATTCATAGCTGCCATGAGTACAGGAGGTTTTATGTGAATCATCACATAGGGAAGCAATGTTAAGCTTCGTCTTGGACAGAGCATCCTAGTCCAAGACTCACGACCCAATCACATTCAAGCAAGCTGCAAGCGGGAACGTTTGTGATTGGTCCTTATGCGCTCAACCTGATAGGTTGTTATGTGTATAGTGGGAGTGGCTATGTTAGCCGGGAATGTTTAAATACCGGGCAGTTTCAATGGGCAAACTGTTCGGGCTATCAGATGTTGTACCGTGTCGAAGAAGTGAACGAAGAGCTGAATAAACTTGAGTCTTTGCTGAAATCACTCTCCGACTCATTGTTAAGCGCCGGACTTAACACGAAGGATCATCCACCCACCTCCCAAGGCAGACTGTTCCACTGCTCAACCACTCTGACAGTTAGGAAGTCTCTTCTGATATTTAGTCGGTAACGACTCCCTTGTCATTTCCACCCATTAGACCTAGTCTTGCAATCCGGAGCAAGAGAGAAGAGATCCACTCCATCTTCTACATGATAGCCCTTCAGATACTTGAAGACTGCAATCACATCCCCTCTAAGCCTTCTCTTTCCCAGGCTAAACAGACCCAACACTTTCAGCCTTTCCTCGTAAGACTTGGGTTCCAACCCTCTCAACCATCCTGGTTGCCCTCTTCTGGACACGCTCGAGCTTGTCAACAAAAGAAGGCAGAAAAGCTGGTTGTTTAGGGGACTGCCCTTTCCCCTGCCAAACTGCTGGAATAGGATTGTGGTGAACAGAACGGAGAATCACTGCCAGCCCTTTTGGGGAGATCAGCACTGCTTCCTGTCTTAGAACAGCTTAATATATAGAAAGGAAGCAAGGTCTGCTCTCAGATTTCCAGAGCTTGCATCTATAATCCTGTTTACTTTGTTTCTCCCATAACTTGACACATGCTAGGGACCCAGATTTCCCTTGGGCCACATTTGCAGGCCTGCAAGGGGGGGGGGGTTGCGGTGGCTCAAGTGGTTAGGACGCTGAACTGCAGGCTGTGAAAGGTCGGTAGTTCAGCAGTTCGAGACCCGGGTGCCGCATGATGGAGTGAGCTCCCATCTCTAGTTCCAGCTCCTGCCAACCTAGCAGTTCGAAAGCAAGAAATTGGAAGTAGATAAATAGGTACCACTTCGGTGGGAAGGGAACAGCGTTCCATGCGCCTTGGTGTTTAGTCATGCCGGCCGCATGACCATAGAAACGTCTTCGGACAGCGCTGGCTCTTCGGCTTTGAAATGGAGATGAGCACCGCAACCCTAGAGTCGGATTCGACTGGCTTTCGAGCAAGGGAAACCTTTACCTTACCTTAAGGGGGGGGGGGGGAGGTGACATTTTGGCTGGGGCTTGGGTGACGTGGCTGCCAATCAGCCAGAGAGGCCTCTGTGGCCAAGCAATGCTCTCCACCACCCCCCGGCCTGGCCAATCAGGTGTGGCCCATCTTGGCTGGTGGGTGTGGGCCCAGCCTGGATTTAAAGGCCAGCTGCACCACGTGGGCCTCAGCCAACCTCGTGCCTTTGCCAATCCACCTGCTCTCACTTTTATGCTTGTGTGGCAGGTGTCTCTCATCGGGTGTTTTTGTTCCTGTTGGGCTTTTGGATACACCTGTTCTGTTTCTTTTCTGTCACAACTGCATTGGCGGTATCAGCACGGGGCCAGATCCAGTTCAGGGGAAAGATGGCCCGCGTGCCTGTTTCCTCAAATTTGGGGGATCCCCTTAAGGGATTTTGAGGTGAGGGCTTCAAAGGGCATGCCCAGCTTAGGAGCTGTCCAGGCACTCTCAAGGGGCAGGGGAGACCACACAGTAGCTACCGTCCACGTGGAATCTAGCATCCTGCCATCCCCTGGTTAAACCCCCCCCCCAGCAGGTGGGCTGGGGGCGGGAGTTTCCATTGGCCAGCAGGCGGGTTGGCCAATGCCTGGATCCATTTGTACAGGATGGAGTGACATACAGTCAACTCACGCAAGTTTATGCTACCAGATTTGGAATTATTAGTGGACTTTAATTGGCCATACCTGAGGCCTATCCTATAGAACAGCAATATACATATAAATATATAAGGACATAACATCTGGCCTTATACTGCATATATATTTAACATCTTATGTAAATATTTTTTGGACTCTATGTCAACTTTGTATTTTGGATTGTGACCACTGAGGAAGGCCCTTTGGGGCCGAAACGCGTTTGGTTCAGTTGCACAGCACTAACCCATCTATGTATGAATGTTGAGAAGTTTTTTAGGTCTGATTGTGAATATTTTAAATGAGTCTTAAGTTTTTTAAAATGTGTACACCTAAATAAATTTTGTATGTTCATCATAACCCCCCCCAGCAGGTGGGCTGGGGGCGGGGGTTTCCATTGGCCAGCAGGCGGGTTGGCCAATGCCTGGATCCGTTTGCCTCATGCTGCACCAAGGCTCTTGCAGCTGCTGTAAACAATAAAGTTGTCATCATTTTCAATCCAGAAAGTTGGATGTTGTCTTCTTGCATTGTGTGGGGGTTGAGTGGTGTCTCAGCATCTCCTTCTCCCCCACTTTGGCAGTGGGTCGGCAAATGGCATTTTGGTGTCAGAGTGTATAATACTAGACCAATGGTCTGACTCTGTCCAAGAGTGCTGTGATGATATGAGATGTCAATGTAAGAGCTCTATGATACTATGCAAAAATAAAAATAAAAATCAGTTTCTCATTATTGCTAAGCTATATCCAATGGAGAATATTTTCCAGTCGTTTCTTCTTCTGTCACAAAACATTACATATTTGACATAAGATTTTGGTAAGGAGTGATTACTCAGAACATCCCGCAAGGGGAACAAATATTCCTTTGGCTTTTTTCTCCTTCGAACAACTACATAAGCATGGCTATCAATCCTATGTGAATTCTGAGTTCTGCCTTTACCTGCACCAAATGGAAGGAATGCTTCTCTTTCTACAAATCTTCCATCCTGGTCCAAAAAATGATTGGGGTTGAACTCCTGAGGTTTCTCCCATTGCTTAGGATCAAGAAGAACAGAGCGTAGATCTGGAAATATCTGGGCCTCCTGCAAAGATGAAACTGTTGGCTCAGGATGCGTACGGACAGCAACATCAAACTTTAATTTTATTTATTTATTTATTTATTTATTTATTTATGAAATAAGGATGATGATTTTATGGATTCTAAACTGATTATTGTAACATGTTTTTAACATTGTAAATCGGCATTAATTGCAGATACGTATATGTTGTTATCCGTCCTGACCAATGCTCCCTCTAAGCTGTGGAGTCCTGTGAGCAAAAATTCCACTTTCTGAGCTGCTGGCATTAGAATTGTGAGCAAGCGACTTGGCTACTGCATAAATTAGTTCGCTCTGGAGCCACCCTTCCTGAGCTAAGACAAAAATGTGTGAGCTGGAGGCTAAAAAACTGTGAGCCAGCTCACACTAACTCAGCTTACAGGGAACACTGGTCCTGACTCTATAATGTGGGGAGGGCAGGCTATTTGTCTAATAAATAAATAAATAAATAAATTTAATGTATGAATCACCCCATTCATGTAACCACAGGGCTCTGGGCGATGTACAATAACATTAAAAACACTGGCCAGGTAAACACAATAAATCATATTAGAATACATTTTAAAAGACAGATGCAGAGCAAAGTGGTACCACTTCACGCTATACTTGTGTTGATACAGCCCAAAATCACATTTGGCTTTTTAGCAACCGCATCACACTGTTGACTCATGTTCAGTGTATGGTTGATGCCATCACATTGGGGGCATGGCATCATTTCTGGGTTGAACCGGGAAGTGGTCATGCCGCTTTAGAATTCAGTGGAAACCTGATGGTAAATCCATCAAGTTTTCACCAAAGACTAGAGTTGTGTGATTATCACAACCAGGTTCATTATGGTGGGCATTTCCCCCTTATTTTACAGTTCTGGCCTACTGAGTTGGTGGGCTGCTGACAGGAGGTTTCCTCCTACAGTGGGAGACCTGGAAACCCTACAGTTTCCAGCCCCTTACCCAAAGCTTCAGAACTGCCCAAGCCACTCCTAGCTTTCCTGCACCCAAGCCTTTCCTGCACCCAAGCCAAAGTAAAAATTATGAAAAATGAAAACAAATATGTTACCCTGTTAGAGCTTCAGGCCCAGGCCAAATGGCCCTCCTGGAACCTGTTGGAAGTTCGAGATGCAATGTCCCCTGTCTCAGATATCCAGACTTCATGCCAAGAGAGGCTAAATAGCTAGGCAGGCACACTGACCTTTCTTCCTGTGTTTATTCTTCTGCCACTGTCCCATTTGAAATGCAGGTTGTGTTCTCAGGGACCATTTCCCCTTCCTTCTGTTCTCTCTCATTCACTTGGGGATGATCTCTCTCCCTGCACGCACCATGAGAGAGATATGCAGTCCTCTCTTGGCACCATGAGGCAGCTGGGCCTCTTGCCATCTGTTTTCATCCTTTAGCTAGTAAGTTAATACTCATTCCTGTCTCTGCTGTTTCCTATGCTAAGTGTACTTCTCAAATAAAGAGAGAAGTATTTATCTTTTAAACTTGCAACATGGCTCTGAGTAGCTGAGTAACCTGGTAAAATGATGCTCCTGTATTTGTAGCTTTATTTAAGCACCCTGCTAACTCGTGGTAACTGGACTAACCACATCACTTAACCCTAACAGGTTATGGGCCCAGCAGAACCCCCAGACTGGCCCTGGCTCTTATCCATGTATACATGTTTTAATATCTTGGACCTTGAGAACCACAGCTTCTTTCATCAATGAAGGCTCAATTTCTAAGCATGAATCCATCAATTCACACTGATAAAACAAAACATCATATCTTGTTTTGCTTCTGGGTTTCCTTCTTGAGTCTGGTAGGCAACTTTGCCTTCGTTGGGAAACCAAAAGGCCCCACTGTGAGGAGAGCTTTGTATAGTGCTATCACTCCTTTGTACTGCAGCATTTATGCTGAGAAAAGCTTTTAAGAAACACAAGTTAAATGTGTGAACACTTTGGATACACTTGGTAATCCGAACATTAGATGCGTTTTTGAATGAAATGGAAAGGAACTAATACAAATAGATCAACAGAAATGGGGCAAGTTAGATTGGGGTTGACATGAAAGATAGGGATGGACTGGCTCACAGATGAAAGTTGACAAATTTCAGCCAGTTCGTGTTTTGTGGACTGCAGAGCCACCACGAACTTCCACTAATTTTTAGGCAGTTTGTGGTGGTTCATGGTGGTTTGTGAAGAGCAGAAAACAAAGGTTTAAATGGCTCCAAACCATTTAAATGCCTACTTTCTGCTCCACCCACCTTTAATGAGGAAACCCCTGCTTTTTGCTTCCAGTGAAAAACAGCTGAGCGGGGGGAGGGAGCAGAAAGCAGGGGTCATGAACCAATATAAACTGGTTCGGTTTGTGAACAAACCTCCCAGTTCGTATCAGTTTTTGATTCGGTTTGTGGTTTAGCCACAAACCAAAACAAACTGCAAAAATGTGGTTCATGTCCATTCCTAGTTAACACAATAATCCCTGTATTATTTGATATCATTTCTGGAACAGGGGTCAGGTCTGTAGCCTTCAAAAATTGCTGAAGAGGAAGGTGTTTATATACATACATACACCCCCCACAGACATATATATAATACAAAGTGCTATCTCTTATAGATATTGCTCTTAGAATCCAGAAGTGCAATCATAAGAATTTCCTGTACCTTTGGAATGAGAAAACCAAATATGTTCACATCCTTTGTACATTGTCTGGGGACACCAAATAATAAGATATATTGGGAACGCATGATCTCATGAATCACAGCATTGGTATATGGCAGTTTCTTCCTATCTTGATAGCTGAATGTTCGAGAGGAACCCAAAACATCTTCGATCTCCTTATGGACTTTCTCTGGGAAAATATTTTAAAGTGCATCTTTAGTCTGGAGACTACGTTTTACAATTGCCAACCTCCAGGGGCAGACTTGTAATCTCCTGAAATTAAAACTGATATCCCAGCTACAGAGATCAGTTCCCCTGGAGAAAATGGTTGCTTTGGAGGGTAGACTCTATGACAATAAACCTTCCCCTCCTAAAACCCTGACCTCCACAGGCTCCATCCAAAAATCCCCAGGAATTTCCCTTCACAAGGTTGGCAAGCCCATGGCATTTGCCTTTATAAAGTTAATGATTCAGTGAAACCAATCACATGTTCAATATACATCAAGCTTTAGGCTTGGGTCAGCAACCCAAAACATTAAGGGAGACTTATCTGGGCAATGCAGCAGCACATTTTAAATATGAAAACAAACAAACTAATGGGTAGGGCTGTACTGGTAATTAGCTACTTAATATGAAAAAAAAAGAATCAAGGGCATTCCTTGATTCAACACAAAAGTGTCTCTTGCCTTGGATATCTGGGTGATTTGCCATGAGGAGCAATGCCCATCGCAATGTCAAGGCTGTTGTTTCCGTTCCTGCGACGAAGAGGTCGAAAATACACTGAGTCAGATTGTCTTCATTGTAAGTAGAGTCGGGGTCAATCCTGCTCTGTAGTTGACAACAAAAAAGTGAGAAAGGAGTTTCAACCAATTCTAAGCATTTTGACTCTGCAGCCATGGTTATAAAGGCTCTACACAATGTAGCGAGAAAGTCTTAGACCAGAAACGACGACACCCAAAGTCACATTCTATTAGAAACTTACCCAGGCATCAATTTGACCCATACATCCAAGCATGCTTTGCCAGCCAAAATAAACACTGACAAAATGTTGAGGAGCAAAGAGTGCAATGCAAATCAAATACTGTTAAGAAGAAACAAAGAATATCCATCCATCAATTAACAAAATATGAAAAACACATGGAAAAGGTTGGTGTAGTGGTTAAGTGTGCGGGCTCTAATCTTGGAGAACCGGGTTTGATTCCCCACTCCTCCACTTACACCTGCTGGATGACCCTGGGCAAGCCATAGTTCTGTCAGAGCTGTCCTTGAAAGAGCAGTTCTCTGAAAGCTCTCTCAGCCCCACCTACGGTGTCTGTTATGGGTAGGGGAAGGGAAAGGAGTTTGTAAACTGCTCTGAGACTCTGAGTGAAGGGTGGGGTATATATCCAATCTCCTTCTCCTCTTCCTATTTATTAACTGTTAAGGACCCAATGTGTCCTTGTGCTTGAAGAAAATTTCATAAATACAACCATTCTGTCATGGGGAAAATATAGATAGATAGACACAAGAACACAACACATAAAGAATTTAAAAAATCTAAGAACAAAAGAATGGTCAGTGACCCGTGGCTAGCCAGCCAGTCACACTTTAAAAGGTTTTTCTAAAATCAATATTATAATCATTCCACTGAGTGACAGTAGCTGAAATCTCTCAGAAAAAAAACTAATTTGTAATTTCCATTTCATTAATTGTATATTTTTTTATTTATTAAACAATTTCTACTGTGACTTTCTTCATGCTTTGGCAGGGAGGGCAGGGTAAAAATCGAATAAATAAATAAATAAATAAATGATTAGGTTAATAGTGAAAGAATTAGGTTTTTGGTAAAAGTATATATCTTCATATTCTGCATCTGAATTTTGCAGAGACCACGGCTGAGTTCAGACTGGCAATTTGAAGCGCTAGGCCAGTGGTGGCAAACCAACGTCATGGGTGCCAGAGGTGGCACTCAGAGCCCTCTCTGTGGGCACGTGTGCCATCGCCCCAGCCAGGCCCAGACCATAATTAAAGTGTCGAATTCTCTGCCAAATAATTTTAAGTAAATGAAAGCATTAGGGATTGCTTTCCTTACTTTGTTTGGATCATCTTAAGTTAATGTATGAGTTGTTTTTTCTAAAGTGAAACCTCAGTATTCAGGTTAAATCGCCGTGTTGGCACTTTGCAATAAATAAGTGGGGTTTGGGTCGCAGTTTGGGCACTTGGTCTCTAAAAGGTTCACCATCACTGCGCTAGGGAGTTGTGGCAAAGAAGACCCGGAACAGACCAGGAACAGCTTGTTCGCGGTATTCCCATTCACACTGCAGCAAATGAAGTAGGAGGATACTGTGGAGGAAGCGCAAGGGAGCGTTCGCACTGTTGGCCCGCCCCTGGTGGGCTGTTAGCAGCTGTTTCAGTGCTCCGCTGCATGTGCCTATGCACATAGGCGCATGGGCACATGGGTGCCTGCCATGGAAACAGCCAGCGCCTATTATCAATGACTGCGGGTTGTTCCCGCCTTAGTGGTGCTTGCATTCACACATTAGGGAACCGGAATCAACCCGCTCTACACATGGTTTGCTACCACTTTCACCTGGTACCTTTTAAACTCGGGAGGGAAGCGACACAAGACGGTTTGAGTACGGCTGAGGGATGCCTGACAGATGTGCCTGTGTGAACCCGCCCCTTTAATCCACTACTGAAATGCTCCTGAAACATTTGACTGCTGGGCCAAAGTGCCAGTCTGAACTCGGCCCACGTTCTGTTTTAGTTGGCTCCGGAAAACCTGGTTTTTCTTTTAGAAGTATGCAGGCCTAGGGTCACCATAAGTTGGAAACAAGTTGATGGCGCTTAGACTATTTCCGCAGTAGTGAAATTCTCTGCATTTCCATTTTAAAAAACTGCACATTAGGTGAAATGTTTTGCAGTAGATTTTTCCTCACCAGGCGTAAACTCGATATTTTCTCCTCCTTACCCCGTGTTTTCATTTAGCAAGTTCCAAAAATGTGGGCTAAGAAGGAGAAAACCTCAGGTTTGCACCTAGTGAGGAAAAAAATCTACTGCAGAAAATTTCACATAATGCACAGTTTTTAAAACGGGGAATTTCTGTAATGTATTCAGATGCTGCATGAATACGTTTGGATGTGTGTGAAACATCCCATTGGGAAGGTATGTTAAGCTTCGTCTTGGACAGGGATTCAAGTCCAAGACTACTGTGTCCAATCACGTTCAAGCAAGCTGGAAGCGGGAACGTGTATGATTGGTCCTTATGCGATCAACCTGATAGGTTGTTATCTGTAAAGTAGGAGTGGCTATATTAGCCGGGAATGTTTAAATACCGAACAGTTTCAATGGACAAACTGTTCGGGCTATCAGATGTTGTACCGTGTTGGAGAACTGATCGTGAAGAGAATAAACTTGAGTCTTTGGCTGAAATCACTCTCTGACTATTTGTTAAGTTCAGGACTTAACATTTCACTATTGCAGAGACGGTCTTAGCACACACATACAGACTTTTTAGAGACTTTCTGAGATGCTTGATACACACAGGTTCTTAAGAATCTGAAGAAGTGATGTACAGAAGGGTACAAAATACAGATATGGGGAAAGTAAAATAAACCACCTAGAAACCAGTAATGATATACAATAACTAAGTATATTGCAATCATTTATTTATTTGCCTTTCAGCCCACCTTCCCCCACAAGCGGGCTCAGGGCAGGGTACAACAGAGCAATAAAACATGATGGCAGGATGGTAACATATAGGCCACAGGAGTCCAGGGCTCTTCTTGTAGCAGGAACGCCTTTGCATATTAGGCCACACACCCCTAATGTAGCCAATCCAGGGGCTACTGTAAGCTCTTGGAGGATTGGCTACATCAGAGGTGTGTGGCCTAATATGCAAAGGAGTTCCTGCTACAGAAAGAGCCCTGAGTATAACTGTGTGTGGCACCAGGAGGGCGGCTGAGATAATCCTCCAGTATATATAATTCTATTTTGGTCATGGACTCCCCTGAACATTCCAACACACTCCAAAATCAGTTCGATCTCTGATCTGTCATTCAGAGGGTCTCCCTATCCACTGGCTGCTTTGCCTGAGTCCTGCCTCCAACATTTTAAACAGTTTGCTCTTCCTCTCCCACCCACAGCCAGTCAGAACACAGAGGTCATTTGCATATGTGGCCTGATTCGCCTTTGCCTCGGAACACAGAGGTCGTTTGCATATGCGGCCTCACTGGCCTTTTCCTCTTAACATTCTAAACAGTTTGCTGTTGATGTTCTGAGGTAAAATAAATTTCCCCTTAGTGTCTGTTGGGGGAAACCATGGTTGCAAATCTCCAGGTGAGGGCTGAAGATCACTCAGAATTACAACTGCTTTCCAGATGGCAGAGATCAGTTCCCCTGGAGAAAATGGTGGACTCTGTGTCCTTATATCCTGCTGAGATGGCCCCTGTATGACAGCCAATGTGACGTAGCAGTCAGGGCTTCAGAGCACGACCCCAAACCCTGCCCTCCCCAGGCTCTACCCCTCAAATCTACAAGTATGTTCCAACCCAGAGTTGGCAACTGTGTAATTGGCTATGGAACTACTTTCCAGACCCTTGGAACCCAGAAAACACGGCACAGGAGGAGGTGCTTTTCTAACTTAGCTGTGACTGCATAGCCCCAAATTAACATAAGCCAACCTTCAGGCGGCATCTGGAGATCTCCAGCTATTAAAACTGATGTCCAAATAACCAAAATAAGTTCTCCTGGAGACAATGGCTGCTTTGGGCAGTGGATTCTATGGCATTATACCATACTGAGGTCCCTCCCCACCCCAAACCCTGCCCTCCCCAGGCTCTACCCCTCAAATCTACAAGTATGTTCCAACCCAGAGTTGGCAACTGTGTAATTGGCTATGGAACTACTTTCCAGACCCTTGGAACCCAGAAAACACGGCACAGGAGGAGATGCTTTTCTACCTTAGCTGCCACTGCATAACACCCCGCTCCCCCTCAAAAAATAAGTCAGAGGTGGAGAGAACCATATCTGTTACCATGAGGCTGTCCTCCCATTCTACCCACTTGGGGCAGCAAAATGACTTGAGAGAGCCCTGCTTTATAGCTAAGCAGAAGGAAAGAAACATGGCTTGCCTCCCTCCATTTTTCACTTCCCTCTGCCACCCCATCCCCCACAGTCGGGACACTCATCTGGAGCTTCCTTCTAGATCTCGTTGTATTTCTTCCCACAATGGGCATTTAATTTATAAAATCACATTAACAATCCTAGTACTGGGTAGTGATGTAACAGCACACTAATATAAATATAAATATCAATATTAATTGTATTATATGCAATACAAATAATATTATTTGCAGTATATTATTTGCAACATATGCAATATAAATAATATTATTTGCATTGTATATGGATTTTAATTTTTTTTTTTAATCCCCGAAGGGATATTTTTATTATTTTTTATAAGACTAGAAAAACTACAAAGAAAATATAGGAAAAGGGGACTACATCTATGGATAAAGGAAAGATAACCACACTAAACTAAAAACCCAAGAGGAGGAGATCATATCCGTGTTAAACTAAGTGTTATTAATTAAAGTGTTAGTACAACAATATACTTATAGAGTTCTTGTTTGTCTCAGCTTCAGTGTTAGTATGTTAGTTGTTATGAGAAAACTTTCTGAGCATCTTCTTGTTGTTTGCTTCAAAAGGCAATTTTCAGAGTCCTTCTGCCTTTACTTCGGTTTTCTATCTCTGAAATCATATGTAACTTTCGTTGCACCCGCACCCATTTCTACAGCACAGTCCTCATCCGTTTCAGAGGTAGCAGAGTCATTTGATTTGGATTCTCCATCTTTGGATTCTTCCTCCAATCCCAACTGATGTCTCAAAAATTCCTTGGCTTTAAAAATGGAGTCAATCTTTTCTCTTTTGTCATTGATTTTAAAGATGACGCCCTCAGGGATCGCCCACCTATACGAAATTCCATTGGTTTGAAGAAAAGAAATTAAGTCCTTATAGCTTTCCCTCTTTTGGCAAATTTCAAATGGAATGTCTTTTAAAGTCTTGATGATTGTATTCCCCAGTTTCAGTGGAGTTGCTGAAGTTGCTTTTAAAATAGTATCTCTGGTCTGTCTTCTTGAGAATCTGACCACAATTTCTCCAGGCAGGCTATTTTCTTAATGTAATTGGATTAAGCCCTGTAGGTTGTCTCCATCTCTTTTACTACTTCACCCACTGTTGAGCCTATTGCTGGAGTGATAATCTCACTGAGTAACTTCCTCAGATCCTCCTTTTCCGATTCAGGTTTTTCCGATTCAGGAACTCCCTCAAATCTGAGAATCGTATTGGCTTTTTCTATTTGTAGCTGTAACAAACAGTTTTCTTGGAAGTTACTTCACCCATTCTTTTCTTCATTTTCTTGTCTGTGGTGTCTATCTCTTTAATTCTCGCAGTCACATGCTCCACCTTCTTCTCCGTTTCTACCAGTTGGAGCTGCTGTGATGCGAAGTTTTGATTCATCGAAGTCAGTTGCTGGTTAACACCATCAAGTTGCTCCATCACCAGCTTAAGCATATCCTCTAACATTTTCATGACGTCTGCTCCCTCTTCTGGTTTTGGGCTCTGAGTACCCACCGGTTTTGTTTTAAATTTTCCTTGCGAGGCCGCCATTTTATATGATTGTTTACAATTCCAAACCACTTCTCACGGGCTCAAAAAATCGTTGCTTCAATGTCGGTGCTCACGTAAGTCTCTCGAATCAAAGTCGCTGCTTGTCCCCCCCTGCCCCTTCATTACACTTATCTGTCAGTTCGCATAAGAGGCATCCCTCTTTGCACTCCGCTTTTCCCACAGGGGGGGTAGTTCACTTTTAAAATGTTCCATTTATTTTGAACTCATGTTCATTGTTGGTCATTTCTCTGGCCTCGCTCACAACATTCGCTACTCCGCTTGAACTCTAGCGCTTGCCCCAGTCAAATCAGCTTGTAACCAAAGGCCACACAGTGACAGGACCATCAGGGTGGAGGGAAGCCTCGATTCTCCGGCATTGAGCTGTCAAAGAGGCTGCCCCTCAAAAGCCCTCTGGCCTGGAGCCTATCGCAAAGGCTCTGTGGGGATGCCACTTAAGGTAGCACCCCTCCATATCGGTGATGTGCTAATCGCTCCCCCGAGGTCTGGGGAGAGTGACCGCCATCGCTAATCCACAAACTGGAAGTCCTATTGTATATGGAATTTTGATGGCATTGTTAACATAATTTAAAATGGTAGTCTTTGGTACTTTGTACCTCACATCTTCAGTCCAAAGGGTTTCCTCCCTTTTGTTTTGGGTTGCTATCAAATCTGAAGATAAAACTTGGAAAATTCTGCCTCTACAGCTAAATCGGTTCCCTTTCCAACAATACTATACAGCACCATCAACTCTTGAGTGCTACAATCAGGTTAAAAAATTTCTGAGCAATTGAAATGCTTGTAAGCAATGCATAACATTTTAGCAACTATGGCAGTGGTGTTAGCAGACAGAACCCTCCCCTCACTGATGGGCAGTTTATAGCTAGCATAACCATAAAAACACTTCCTAAAATATTGCCTCAAAAATCATAAGTGAAAGACACTGCCTGGCCCAAAATGACATAAAATGGATGCCAGTGAGAAACAAGCCTGGACATGTTTAGAAATGTAAGAATTGCTGACTGTCTACCGCCCCCTCCACGCCCCATCTCTCTGCCTCCAGAGAGACATGAATAATTTAGGACAATGGGTCTCCCAAGAATCTACTGGCTCACCTTGGACTAATCTCATGAACACTCAGCCTCACTTCCTTACATCTATTCACCAAACCTAGTAGCTTTTCCTATCCAGTACTCGCAGGTCATCACGCCCCATTCACATCTATTATCCAACTCAGGAAAGCCCATTAAGTTAGTTTTTTTTTTTTCTGGCAGATATGTCATACCTGCCAGAGGGCACATTTTACCAAAAGGCAGTCTGCTTCCCAGCAGTGTTTGTGTGTGTGTCTTGGATCCTTGACATACACCCCAACTTTGCTGGTCTCTCTTCTCTTCACAAAACACTGGCTGTTTTGCTGCTTCCAGGGACCTCTCCAAGAATGGTAATTATCACCCTTCCTGAAATCTCTCTCTCCCCTCTCCACCCTGTGTTTTCTCTTAGTTAGCTCTTGTGTGTGTTCTTTCTGTGTATTTTGTTTTATTCTTTCTCTTTTTCTTAATAAAAACCTTTCAGGTTGAACATCTACCTGGTTTGTTTAAGCATTCTCCTAAGGGAAAATCCCCGTACACATAGATGGAGAATCCCAGTTACCTTAAAGCTCCTTAAAGCTAATTCCCCTAACTAATTAGGAGACTGCCTCTTTGGGTAACAGAGACCAGAGAGGAGAGCTTCTTTCAGTCTTCTGAACCCAGAGGTCATACAGCAAAACAGATATACAGGTTTCAAAGAATACATTTACCTTCATCATTGACATTTTCATAGAGTGTATTTGATTTCATATGCAAGGTGGATACTTACTTTTTTAATCTGATATAGATAGAAATCAATGAAATCTTGTGGCTCGTGGGCCTCCTGATGCTTCTTATGCTTTTCGATCTCCTTCCTTGCAAAAGAATGTATAACATCACTGGAGGCAAGTGCCTTCCTGTGAGGCCCCGGGAGATATTTCATGAGCCATGGGAAAGTGTCATAAAACTACAGGAAAGGTGAATGTCAAATGGGGTCAGTACCATGAGATGGCTCAGTAACACAGTTGATGCACACTGATGCTGATGTAGGAACCCAAAATTATGTTTTCTGGACAATGCAGATTCTCCCCACATTCCAAAAGCATCATGACCATTTCCAGGAAGGGGGAAGGAGCAAATATTTCCCGGCGCTCATTCCAAACTTTCATAAATGCAAATAAAAAACTATCAGAGTTAACCTCTTTTGGTCTATTTTTTGGTCTCATCCATAGGCATTTTCATGTATATTTTTGTCTTGGGGATTCTGGAATGCACACCCTAATGTATGTGCATGCACGCCCACACACACTGAATGAGACTCCTGTCCAGGGGCCAAGTTCACAAAGTATGAAGTCCTACCACAAAACATTTCTATCAAATGTGATAGGACCTCTGTGCCTCTCAGATGCATGTGGGCCCAATCATGATTACAGCTGCACCACACAGACCGGAGCAGCTTCAGCCTTCCCCCAGCACCATTTTGGCATCTTGAAATAGCCCCAAAGAACCCCTATTTGCTCCACTGAGGAAAGCTACATGTAGCTATCATTACACATACTGCTGGAGGTGTTTCTACCTGCAGATCATAGTTTTGTTCAGAACCGGACCTGCATTGTGAAAGTAGAGGAGGAGGAGGAGGAGGAGGAGGAGGAGGAGGAGGAGGAGGAGGAGGAGGAGGAGAAGAAGCAGAAGAAGAAGAAGAAGAAGAAGAAGAAGAAGAAGAAGAAGAAGAAGAAGAAGAAGAAGAAAGAGGTTTTATACCCTGGCCTTCACTACCTGAAGGAGTCACGGATTGGCTTACAATCACTTTCCCTTCCTCTCCCCGCAACTGAAACCCTGTGTGATAGGTGGTGCTGAGAGAGCTCTGAGAGAACTGTGACTGACCCAAGATCACCCAGCTGGCTTCATATGGAGGAGTGGGGAATCAAACCCTGTTTCCTAATTAGTTCTTGCTCCAAGGAGGAGGGGGCTTTTGGTCTCTTGGAGCTGGACCTTCAAAAAGGGGCAGCCTCTGGGTGGGCTGTTCCCACCAGCAAAGAACATGCAGCTGCTGGAGTGATCTTGGGTCAGTCACAAGTTATTCCAGAGCTGTCCTCTCAAGGGCAGTTCTCTCAGAGCTCTCTCAGTCTCAAATACCGCACAGGGTGTGTGTTGTGGGGAGAGGAAGGGAAAGGAGATTGTAAGCCGCTCTGAGACTCCGAGTGAAGGGCGAGGTATAAATCCAACCTCCTACTACTACTATTCTTCCAGAGAAAGGTGGTGGTGGGGAGTCTATTCCATTTGTTTCCAGCCTCACCTCAGCCACCCTTTTAGAAAAACATTAATCCCACTGACATCCTCCCCCTCTCTAAACCCCACCCCTCCTAGGCTCCGCCCCCCAAATATCAAGGAATTTCTGAACCCGCTGTTGGCAATCCTAGCTAGAACTGATTATGAGGCTGAGTTTTGTAGGAACAGAGATAAATTGTATTGCTATGTAATGATCTGTTGCATGGCTTTATGATTTCTCTTCTGTATACGTATTGTATCTCAATAATTTTTTTTAGTTCACTTCAGGTAAACTACTGCGTCAATGTTCCTCAGTGACTTAGCATGACCCATTTGGGAAAAATAGGACACAGAATTACACCAGGTACACCAACTAGCTGATCTAGGAAATCGACATAACAAAAGAATAATCAAACAGCAGTGGTACAGTGTAAAAAAATGTTCAAATCAAGACCCATTCACAGTGATTTCTACTTTTCTGCTGTTCATCATCGAAATCAATACGTTTTCTGATCCTGACAAAACCCATTCAAACCATTAAAGTTGGACTAGATGAGCGGTGGCTCAAGTGGTTAAGACGCTGAACTGAAGACCGGAAGGTCGGTAGTTCAGCAGTTTGAGAACCGAGAGCCGCATGACAGAGTGAGCTCCCGTCTCTGGTCCCAGCTCCTGCCAACGTAGCAGTTTGAAAGCAAGAAATTGCAAGTAGATAAATAGGTACCACTTCGGTGGGAAGGTAATAGCGTTCTATGCACCTCGGCGTCTAGTCATGCCAGCCACATGACCACGGAGACGTCTTCAGACAGCGCTGGCTCTTCGGCTTGGAAACAGAGATGAGCATCGCATCCCTAGAGTCAGATTTGACTGGCTTTCGAGCAAGGGAAATCTTTACCTTTACCTTTATTAGATAACCCTGGAGGTCCCTTCCAACTCTACGATTCTATGAAGTTTGACTCAGCTAATGAATCCGAAATTCTTCTGCACTCCTAATCAAGTATTCCTGTTGAAGCTGAAAGTAAATGAATTCTGGGAGATAGCTATCTGCCCAGGGATGTGGAACGATATGGTATCATAGAATCACAGAGTTGAAAGGGGGCATACAGGCCATCTAGTCCAACCCCCTGCTCAATGCAGCCTAGAGCATCCCTGACAAGTGTTTGTCCAGACACTGCTTAAAGAGTGCCAGTGATCAGGTACAGCCTGATCTTGTTAGTTCTCAGAAGCTAATCAGGGTCGGTACTTAGATGGGAGACCGCCTAGGAAGACTTTGCAGAGCAAGGCAATGGCAAACCACCGCAGCTCAATCACTTGCCTCAATGATATTTTACACACGCAAACACCATTCTGACCTAATAGGGGGAAAAAGAAAAGAAAATTACTTGCATCCTGAAAGATGGTAGCTGAAAATTTTGAGAGGCAGTCAATGGCTGCCACCATCTTGAGGAATTCTTTATCTTCAACTGAAAACCGAAGTCCAAAAGCCACAGCACAGATCACATTGGAGACGGAAATAGTGATGGGCACTGAAGAGTCAAATGGTTGCCCTGCAAATAAAGTTGGTTGCAAAATATTAATATTTTCATCCCCTTCTGTGAATACTCACAGTGAACGTCATTAGTGAAGTTTGGTAGGAGAAAGTGACTCCTTTGCAATCTTAAGACGTGGTTATATATTAGAAAATATTTTAAAAGCGTATCGAGGTATTTTCTGAAATGTACAACGTATACAAAGTTTGAGTCCAGTGGCACCTTTAAAGACCAACAAAGTTTCATTCCAAGTGTAAGCTTTCACGTGCAAAGCACACTTCTTCAGAAAAATGTTGAGAGAATTGATACCATTTCAGGAATCAATTCTGGGGAATTTGGGAGGTTCAGGAATCCTCACCTCCTGAAAAGTTCTCCAGTTGGGGGTGGGGATTGAATGAGAAGCTCTCTGTGTTTGTACTCACAAGAAGAGCTAGAGAGGGGGTTTGAGTGCATCTACTATGGCCCAATCCGCATTTGCTATGTACAGCTGTTAGAACATAAGAACATAAGAGACGCCAATGTTGGATCAGGCCAAAGGCCCATCCAGTCCAACACTCTGTGTCACACAGTGGCCAGAAATACCAGGTGCCATCCGGAGGTCCACCAGTGGGGCCAGGACATTAGAAGCCCTCCCACTGTTGACCCCCCCCAAGCACCAAGAAGACAGAGCATAGCACCAAGAAGACAGAGCAAGCACCAAGAAGACAGAGCAAAGCACCAAGAAGACAGAGCAAAGCACCAAGAAGACAGAGTTCTGTGCTGCTGTGGCGCCGGCTGCCTATTTGGGTCAGTATGAAGCTCTCCTCGGTCTGCATCAGGATGCAAGTTGTTTAGGGAGAGTATGCGAGAGAGGGGGGAGGAGCGACCACCAAGGGGCACCGGCAGGGTCCTGCACTCTACTTCACTGCAGGGAGGAAATAGCACCTGTGACCCCCCCCAAAAAAGTAAAAGTGATGACCTGGCCGGGGAGGGGGGAGGAAAGACAGAACGAGATGGGTAAAAACCACAAAACACACAGGCATGTTGTTCTGGAGACTGCCCTCCCAAATGTTCCCTGGCTGCTTTTAAATGCAGACAACTGGATTTTCAGCTAACTTATTTCCTTTGTGACAATTTGTGTATCTCCTTAGAAAAGATGGGGGGGGGAATTCAGCTCCAGTTGTCTGCTTTTTGCTCACAGCAGCTCGACGGTGGAGAGAAGCAGTTGTACCACCTTAAAACCACATTCAGATAAGGCGGTGAGACGCCGTAGTGACCTCGGAGTAATAAAATGATGCAGACAGCCGATGCTGAGATGAAACAATAGGAGAGCGGGTGCGGCATGAAATGCAGACAGAAATTTGTGAGACGGTGTGAGATCATTGGCACAATGGTGAGAAATACCAATGCAGACTGGACCTATGTTTGTCTGTATGTGGTGGAGATGCCCACTGGGGCATTTGCTGTTAGGTGGTTGACTTTTTTAAAAGGTAGATACAAAAACAGTCTTTCAAGCCGATGAAGAGACAAGGGAATTGGAATGACTCCATTTCAGATTAGGCTTGCGGTCCCTTTACCACCTTCTAACCAGATGATTTACCATGTTGAATTTGATACAGTCACACTCTGAAATCATCAATTTATTAATTTAGAGAATTAAGAACATAAGAGATGCCAATGTTGGATCAGGCCAAAGGCCCATCCAGTCCAACACTCAATATCACACAGTGGCCAGAAATACCAGTGCCATCAGGAGGTCCACCAGTGGGGCCAGGACATTAGAAGCCCTCCCACTGTTGACCCCCCCCAAGCACCAAGATGACAGAGCATCACTTGCCCCAGAGTCCCTATCTATACCTTGTGGCTAATAGCCACTGATGGACCTCTGCTCCATATGCTTATCTAATTCCCTCTTGAAGCTTCCTGTGGCAGTGAATTCCATGTGTTAATCACTCTTTGGGTGAATAAGTACTTCCTTTTATCCGTTCTAACCCGACCGCTCAGCAATTTCATGGAGTGCCCACGGGTTCTTGTATTGTGAGAAAGGGAGAAAAGTACCTCTTTCTTTACCTGCTCTTTCCCATGCATAATCTTATAAACCTCGATCATGTCACCCCTCAGTCGTCTTTTCTCCAAGCTAAAGAGCCCTAAGCGCCTTAACCTTTCCTCATAGGGAAAGTGTTCCAACCCTTTTATCATTCGAGTTGCCCTTTTCTGCACTTTTTCCAAAGCTATAATATCCTTTTTAAGGTGTGGTGACCAGAATTGCACACAGTATTGCAAATGAGGTCACACCATTGATTTATATGGTCCGACCTCATAAATCATATGTTGCTTTTTTGTGGTCAACTATCTTCTTGAAGGGACCTAAGGAAAATCATTTTGAAATCACAATAAAACGCTAGAGGGCACATTTAACAGCTTGGTGCTTCTCATGCAGGAGAGGCAGGAGGACAATGGAGGGGCCCCAATAGGGGAGCCAGTTTGGTGTAGTGGTTAAGGGTGTGGACTCTAATCTGGGAGAACCGGGTTTGATTCCCCACTCCTCCGCTTGTAGCTGCAGGATGACCTTGGGCAAGCAATAGTTCTGTCAGAGCTGTTCTCTCAAGAGCAGTTCTGGAAAGAGCTCTCTCAGCCCCACCGACCTCGCAGGGTGTCTGTTGTGGGGAGGGAAAAAGAAAGGAGTTTGTAAAATGCTCTGAGACGCCGAGTGAAGGGCGGGATATAAATCGAATCTCTTCTTCTTCTTTTCTCTTCTTCTATAGAGGAGGAGGAGAAGGAAGAGAAGAAAAGTTCGTTTTTATATGTACTTAAGCAGGGGTGAGAGAGTTCTGAGAGAACTGTGACTGACCCAAGGTCACCCAGCAGGCTTCATGTGGAGGAGTGAGGAATCGAACCTGGTTCTCCAGATTATAGTCAGTCACTCTTAACCACTACACCATGCTGGAGACCCCTTGCCTCCCCACCTGTTCCCCACCCCATTAACCCCAGAGCTTATTTGCAGGAGATTCTAGTTTATAACTGATATGGTAACTTCTAAGCTACTGGTTATTTATAGTCCAGTGTGGCGGTGCTGACTTATGGCGACTGCACAGGGTTTCCAAGGCAAAAGACGTTCAGAGGTAGTTTGCCATTTCCTGCCTCTGTGTCATGACCCTGGCATTCCTTGGAGGTCTCCTATCTAAATGCTAGCAAGGACTGACCCTGCTTAACTTCTGGGATCTGATGAGATTGGGCTAGATTGGGCAATCCTGGTCCAGACATGATCCAGTGTACAGGTAAATTAATCCAGAGTTAAATGAGAAATAAAAAATGGCCTACAGGAACCATTGGTCAGCCCAGTTTCCTGACATCATATACCTTTTGCACATGCAAAAGTCTCAACAAGCTGATGGGCCTCCTCTTCTATTTGGTGCTCCACGCCTTTCTTCCCCAGTCCCAGCTTCCGCATGGTGGCTAGCCCGAACTTCCTCTGTTGCTTCCACGTGTGGCCATTTGAGAATATAATACCTAGGCCAGGAATAATCAATGAGAAATTAGTACTGAAAGAAATTACGGTTCAAAAAGAGTTTAACTTAGCCTAGAAAACATATTGAAAAGCTACCCCTTCTCTACAAACCAGACAGCTGCAATGCTGATACAGAACCAGTCCCTGGCCCATTCTGCATCTAGCGTTTGTTCCACTGTTTTACCAAACCCACGTTGGAACAGAAATTCCCTGCTACATTGCATGCCACTTTCACTTTCTTCGATTGTCACATTTTATGGTAGCCTCCACACTGCATGCCAGTTTCTCTTCCTTTGATCTCTCAGTTTTATGGTACTGTCTGCATAGACTTATGGCCATTCAGGGGTGACTCTGCAGTAAGTACAGCATTGGGCCAGGGTATTTGAATGTGGCTTTGTGCCGCATCTTTTTCTGTTCCCGTGTGGGTTTGGTAAAACAATGGAGCGAATGCCAGATGCAGAATGGGCCCCTGTCTGGTTCAGTGACATGTCTCAGATATTGACCAGTTCCACTTGCCTTCTGACCTGATCTGTTCATTGTCTTTTGTAAAAGTTGTCTCAAAGGCCTAATTTGCATACAAAGACAGCTAAGTGTATTTTGTTGCCAGCGTATACCCGTAATTGTGGTATGAATGGGAATATAAAGATTTTCATGTATAGGTTTTTCCTTCTTGATTGTTCATATTCATATTTCTCTGGTTTTTATAGACTTCTTCTTTGAGTAATATTTTATTAGGATGTTAGAAAGGCCTGTTATATAGAAGGCTTTCTTCTTGTAGGTCTGATATTGCTAGAAGACAACATAATAGGTACAAAGTTCATGATTCTGTAGTTCTTATTGAATATTATTCCCATGATGATGATATGATGATGTCAGTCCATGTATAAAATATCATGTATTTCCTGAATATGTTCAGAATATGCTCAAGAAGAAGATGAAGAAGAAAAAGAAGAAAGTTGTCAATTTATGGTTAACTATTTGGTCTAATTGTTTTCCTATTAATTGAAGCATATTCCCTGAATATGCTGAGCAGAAAGTAGTCCGTTTTGATGGGTCCTTTGGCCTAACTGTTTTCCATATTTCATTACAATAAAATACAAGAACTTCCTCCTCATTTGACTTCATTTTTGACATGGAATCTAATATGTACAACATAATGATCAAGAATGTCCACTGTGAGAAAGCACCTCTAATTCTTCAGCCAGTTGTGGTGACTACAGCAGAACCAAGTTGCAGGAGAGAGAGAAAAGAATTAAAATGACAGAATATTACAAAAAAAACCCTTTGCCTTGCAAAAGGAGGACCTCAGAGACATTTTGGTAACAGCCTTAGCACCACTGACTGGCAATGAAGCGGAAAAAATAAAAGAAGAGATGGATTTGGCTTATAGAGCCTATTCCAACTTCACAAAGAAAAATAAGTTGCCAGCGGAAGTGGTAGTGAAATTTACAAAGCAACGTCTCCGAGATCAGATTTTAAAGGCAGTTTCAGCAACACCCTTGAAAATTGGAGATCAACCGATCAGGATTCTGAAAGATGTTCCATTTGAAATCAGAATGAAAAGAAAGGAATATAAAGGTCTGACCATGTTCTTACAAAATCATCAAGTCAGTTACAGATGGTTGGTGCCCGAAGGATTGGTCTTTAAATTTAAAGACAGAAGAGAAAAGATAGACTCTATCTTCAAGGCTCAAGACTTTTTGAAGAGGCACGCCAGTACAGAAGAAGAAGCAGAACTCGCCAAGTGGATGTCGGGAGCCAGCGGAGAAGACAGCAGCTCGGAAGGAGAGGTGAAGGATGAGGAAGTTAAAGGAGCGCCTGGCCCAAAGTATAACTTGAGGGACAAAAAAGGGAAAGACCCCAAAGTTTAAAGATTATTTCGGATAATGTTTTAAAAGTAATACTAATCCCAAAAGAACATTACTAACATGTTAACTGTTCGGTTTCGAAAAAGAATGAAGAAAAGAGGATCGTCCAAGTACAGAAGAAGCTATTGACTTTAACTTTAATTCTAAAGGATTAATATACTAATACTTAACATCACTCAACACTTTTCTTTATCCCTCTATAGACCCTCCCCAATTTTCTGAATTGTAAAAGCAAAACTTCTCTCCTTTTTAGGAGAGGGAAATTAAATTAAAAAAACCCTTTGCCTTGCCAGAACTGTCTGCAGCATGCAACCTGGGAATCCTAAGGATGCCACGGCAGTCATAAAGTCTAAGGAGGCACCAGACAGTGTCGGTGTGGACATTGAAACCCACCAAAACAATCAGTTTGGGAAAGTGCAAGGCCCACTCCACCTTGCCTCTACCAACCTCAGCTGTTAAAATGGGTGGACGGTAAACCAACAAGACACGCACCCTCTCCCCGACACCCCACGCCAGTCCTACACATCCAATGCCAACAATGTTTGGTGCAGGAAGCCGTTAGAAGGAGAAAGTATCTCGAATGAGAATTGCTGCCCCACCCCCACCTCATCTTCCCGTTCACGGCTGATAAAGGACCGAGTATCCTGGGGGAGTCAGCTGAGCGAGAGCCGCCGCTTCATCCTCGTCCACCCAGATCTCAGTCAAGAACGCCAGATCAAAATTGCAGTTTCTAATAAATCCTTCAAGGGAGACAGCCTTATTCATAATCGATCTGACATCGCACAACATCAAGCTTGAAGAGGGGGGTGAAGACGTCCAGGTTTGCACATCATCATACCTCGGGATGGGAAGATTAGAAGGGGGCCGAGCATGTCCATATCCCCATCTCCTCCTAAATCTAACTCTCTGCCCACCACCTGTTAGGCACAACACCGGGTCTCTGTCTGAGTTACGATGGGGGAATTAGCTAAGAGACGGTTTGCTTGATAGGTGCGCAAGCTAGGGGTCGCACTCCAACTATACCAGAGTCAGAACCCACTCAGAGTTGCACAGACAACAGACAGGAAATGTCTTTTGTGAAATTTTATTAGGGTTAAAAATATAACCTTAATACTTTCAGCTAACCAATGGAATATCAGACACACACACCAGAGAGCTAGGAAATAAAGAGGTGAAGTGACCTTATAGAGGTCAGTGACAAAAGAGGGTGAAGCGAGGAGAAGAAGAAGAGGAGGAGGAGGAGATTGGATTTATACCCCGCCCTTCACTACCCAAAGGAGTCTCAGAGCGGCTTACAAACTCCTTTCCCTTCCCCTCCCCACAACAGACACCCTGTGAGGTAGGTGGGGCTGAGAGAGCTCTGGCAGAAACTGCTCTTTTTTTCAAGAACAGCTGTGCCAGAACTATGGCTTTCCCAAGGTCATCCAGCAGGTGCAAGTGGAGGAGTGGGGAGTCACACCCAGTTCTCCCAGATTAGAGTCCGCACACTTAACCACTACACCAAACTAGGGGAGGTTATAGCTACCTTCCAAAGGGTCTGTGGTGAAGAGAAGCAGGCTGCTTGGCCATCAAGCACATCTGAGAAGATCCAAAAGAAATGGGGGATCCAGCCAGTATGCATTCCAGGAGACTGAACCAAAGATGGCTGGGTTTGGAGTCCTGAAATAGGAAAATTGTGCCTTTGGGGCAGGGGGCACAATGGGGAAATGGTCTGTGAGGGGCTGGGATGGCTGGTAATGGCTCTAGAGGAGTTTTGGACAAAAGAAGTCCAGGTTGGGGAAAGGAAACCTTTGTTGGCAAGGCATTGGGCGATTGCAGAGTCTTGGCTCCATTAATGGCTGTGTTTTCAAGAAAACAACGACAATCGGCTGTGGCCAGGGTGGTCCCAGGATCGACTTGCGAAGTCCAGAGGTGCAATTAGGGGATGTAGAAATGGAATGAAGGTCCGTTGACACTCTCGGGGTGATGAGATTAAGACATTTTCCTTTCCGATGGCAGATACGTGTCTGCTCTAGACTGTTTCTAAAGTGATAGCTGATTGCGTCAGTGAGGCGGTCCTGAGCACATGGCTGGGCGGGTTGGCACTGCACAAAGATAGGGCCATATTTGCCCTGTGCCAACTTTGGCCCTAACCTGGCCTGGGTACCAGCTTTATGTGGCAAGAGGGGCACAGTGTCAGAGTCCCACACCATCAGTCTCAGCGACGTTCCGTCAAAAGGATCGAGGTTATCGAAGACTGTCAAGGCAGGCCATCTGTGCGTACATTCTGTGTTAGAGTGAACCCAACCAGCGGGAGTGAGGAAGATATACTGCATTCAGAGATGGGGGCCATGATGGCAGTAAGCCTATCAGAGGTGCAAGCCTTGCGTGCTCAAACTAACGGGAAGGTTCCTGTGGAGAGTGAAGAGCATGAAGCACTAGATAAGGCTCAGTGGCAGAAGTGAAAGCGAACATTCCAGGACATTGAGATGCTCACCCAGTGGCTTCCACCCCCCCCCCCAGTGGTAGTGTAGCTGACACTCAGGCTAACATACCATATTTCCCACCTCCCCATCTTACAGGGATTCCATGGCCACCTGGGCACATTTTGTAGCTTACTCTGGTTCCCCTCTCCACCTGTGGGAGGATCTACACCAGTTCGGTGTAGTGGTGGTGTACCCAGGCTCCAATCTGGGGGAACAAGGTTTGATTCCCCACTCCTCCACTTGCACCTCCTGGATGACTTTGGGCAAGCCATAGTTCTGTCAGAGCTGTTCTCTCAAGGGCAGTCCTCAAAAGAGCTCTCTGAGACCCACCTACCTCACACGGTGTCTGTTGTGGGGAGGGGAAGGAAAGGAAACTGTAAACTGCTCTGAGACTCTGAGTGAAGGGCGGGGTATAAATCCAATCTCTTCTTCTCTTCTTCTAACCAGCTGTGCATCAGATTTATAGTGGACACAAAAAAAGCCACACACACAATCAACCAAACCCACAATAATCCAAGCCATGCTGTGGACCTCCACCCTACCCACCCTTGTACTCAATACCTCCCCCCCCCAGCCATGATTTGCAAGAGCTGTTGCCTCCGTTGAGACAAAGCTGCAGCTTCTGGACTCTGCCTGGAACTTTTCCTGATGTTCCCGCAAAGCACTCCCAAGCACCCTGCCCTGACTTAAGAACATAAGAGAAGCCAATGTTGGATCAGGCCAATGGCCCATCCAGTCCAACACTCTGTGTCACACAGTGGCCAAAAACACCAGGTGCCATCAGGACGTCCAGCAGTGGGGCCAGGACACTAGAAGCCCTACCACTATTGCCCCCCCCCCCCAGCACCAAGACTACAGAGCATCACTTGCCCCAGCTATAAGAATGTAAGAGAAGCTAATGTTGGTTCAGGCCAGTGGCCCATTCCGTCCAACACTCCGTGTCACACAGGGGCCAAAAGTACCAGGTGACCTCAGGAGGTCCACCAGCGGGGCCAGGACACTAGAAGTCCTCCCACTGTTGCCCCCCCCAGGCACCAAGAATACAGAGCATCCCTTGCCCCAGACTGAGAGTTCCTACCTATACCTTGTGGCTAATAGCCACTGACGGACCTCTGCTCCATATGCTTATCTTCAGTTATTATTTCCCAGGTAATTAACGCTGGCATGCCTCTAGCAGCCCGGTGGGTAGGTACTCACACAGAGGGTCAAATATTAATATGGCTTGGATTATTTTGACAAATGAATCCCAGTTCAACACAGAAGGTGGGGCCACTGTTTCCCCGATCTTTTATGCTTCCCAACAACTTACCCTGTTCTTTTCCTATAGCTTTCACGAAAGGGGTCACCGGCCGATCGGCAAAGTCATCTTCATGGTTTATCAGCCCTTCCTTCACTGCTTCATAGCCAGACAGGACAATTGCAAGGTAAGGTCCCAGCCACAGCGTGTAAATGTTTCCATATTGTTCAGCCAGCTGCCATTTGTGTCAAAAGAGACAAGAGGTAAACATTACATAAAGTCGGCTACTTTGTCCGAGTGTCGCAGGTGCAGTTCAGTCTTCTTAGCCTCTTCAGCTCCTGGCCATGCGACCCTCTCTTCCCTGCCCATTTCCCTTCTCCAGGGGTCATTTCGTAGAAAAAGAGGTGCAGGAGCTCATTAGCATAACTCATTAGCACAACTTATTTGCATATGCCACACCCCCTGACATCACCGGAAGTGTGTCAGAAGGCAACACCCACCGCTCAGGCGCCCCTGGACTGTTTTGGATTGCTAGATATCGGGGGGGGGGGGGCACGTCGATCTGTCGTGGCAGAGGAGGGAGAGCTTGTGCCTGAATAAAACCTGGAAGGGTGCCCGTGGGCTGTGTGGGACGGGGGGGCTGGTGGGGGGGGGGGCTCTGCCACTTACCTGGCTGCTTCTTGCTCTGACTGAGGGCTGCTGGGAGCAGGGGGTGGGGCTTGTTGCATGTGCCCACCCCCTGGGCTTTTTTATTGCTGGAGCTCCGCTCCTGTGCGCTCCTGCAGGAAAGGACCCCTGCCCTTATCTCAGATTCCTGCCTTTCTACATTTTTCTCTCCTTCCTTTCCAGAGGTGCAATCTACTTTCTCAGCATCCCACTATAGGCTTATCTTAACTATAAATTCATTTCACTTATGAAAGCCAGTTTGGGGTAGCGGTTAGGAGTGCAGACTCTAACCTGGGAGAACCAGGTTTGAGTTCTGACTCCTCCACATGCAGCTGCCGGTGTGACCTCGGGTCAGTCACAGGTTCTTTCACAGCTGTTCTCTCATGAGCAGGTCTCAAAAGAGCTCTCTCCACCCCACCTACCTCACAGGTTGTCTGTTGTGGGGAGGGGAAAGGGATTGTAAGCAATGCTCCCTCTAAGCTGTGGAGTCTTGTGAGCAAAAATTCTACTTTGCGAGCTACTGGCATTAAAGTTGTGAGTGAGCAATTTGGCGAATGCATAAATTAGTTTGCTCTGGAGCCATCCTTCCTGAGCTGAGACAAAAATGTGAGAGCCGAAGGCTAAAAAATTGTGAGCCGGCTCACACGAACTCAACCTTAGAGGGAACACTGATTGTAAGCCTCTCTGGGACTCCTTCAGATAGTGAAGGACAACTTATAAATGCAGTCTCCTCCTCCTCCTCCTCCTCCTCCTCCTCTTCTTCTTCTCCTTCTCCTTCTTCTTTCTTCCTGGTGAGGATCCTATGAAGTAGGGCTGAGACCACGTGATTGGCACAGGATCACCCAGCAAGCTTCTAAGACAGAATGGAGATTAGAACCTGGGTCTCCCGGATCGCATTCCAGCACTCTGACTGCTACATAGGGATGGGCAAGAACCAGCTGATGAACTAAAGTTCATCACAAAGTTTGACCTGTTTGGGGTTCACAAACCTACTGGCATGAAAGTTGTGAGCGAGTGATTTGGCTGCTGCATCAATTAGTTTGCTCTGGAGCCACCCTTCCTGAGCTGAGATAAAAATGCGTGAGCCGGAGGCTAAAAAACTGTGAGTCAGCTCACACTTGCTCAGCTTAGAGGGAACACTGGCTAGGACGTGTAAAAGCATGCACGTTTGTTTAGACTCTTATTAGGTTTAATTATGCGTATTCACATCTGCTAGGCTGCTGTGGGATGGGCGTGGTTCATAACTTGCTATTGGAGGCTATGTGCTTTTTTGAAAGCCAACCTTTGGAGACTGCTTTTGAAATGCTAGGAGGAGATAAGAATGTTAATGAGGCACTTAATGCTAAGGCGTGTAGTTAGAAGGCTAGACTTCCTGGGTGGAAAATGCATCCTGATGATAGTTTATTAGGGCTGTATTGGCTCTTTTACTCTGGAGGGGCTGTTTTGCAGCTGAAATGGATTCAGCATTACAGTAATATGCATGAATGTTAATGGGGATATTTTTTTAAAAAAATCATGTGAGCGTTATTGATTTATTTAATTATTATTTATTTATTTATTTAAATTTATAACCCACCCTCCCTGCGAACAGGCTCAGGGCGGCGTACAGACGGGGCCAATGCCCAATATATAAAACATTAAAATTGCATTTTAAAAACATTCAATACAACATAAGTGCTCTCCACAATATCTAATAAGGGAACAGAGTGCGAGTTGGTAATAAAGGGCTAGGACAGATAGTAATAGTCGTAGACAGATGGTAACAGTTGTGGCGGCTCCTACTCAAACGCTTGGCGGAAGAGCTCCATGTTACAGGCCCTGCGGAACTGTGATCTCCTCTGGGAGCTCATTCCACCAGGTAGGAGCTGCCACCGAAAAAGCCCTAGCCCTAGTCGCCGCTAGTCTGGCCTCATTGGGGCCTGGAACCACCAGGAGATGTTTGGTCCCGGACCGTAGTGCTCGTTGGGGAACATATGGGGAAAGGTGGTCCCGTAGGTATGTCGGACCCTGGCCATCTAGGGCTTTAAAGGTGAGAACCAGCACTTTGAAGCGAATCCGGTATGCTATCGGCAGCCAGTGCAGCGCTTTCAGCAGAGGCTGGATGTGTGCCCCCCTAGGAAGGCCCATCAACAGCCTGGCTGCAGCATTCTGCACCAGCTGCAGCTTCCGGATTTGCGACAAAGGCAGCCCCATGTAGAGAGCGTTACAATGGTCTAGCCTCGAGGTGACAGTCGCATGGATCACTGTGGCTAGGTCGTCGCGGTCGAGAAAGGGAACCAACTGCCGTGCCAGCCGAAGATGGTAGTGGCTGCTACCTGGGCCTCCATACATAATGTGGAGTCCAGGAGCACCCCCAAAGTCCATCAGTGGCTATTAGCCACAAGGTATAGATAGGGACTCTGGGGCAAGTGATGCTCTGTCTTCTTGGTGCTTGGGGGGGGGGTCAACAGTGGGATGGCTTCTAATGTCCTGGCCCCACTGGTGGACCTCCTGATGGCACTGGTATTTCTGGCCACTGTGTGATACAGAGTGTTGGACTGGATGGGCCTTTGGCCTGATCCAACATTGGCATCTCTTATGTTCTTATGTTCTTATGTTCTTAAACTCCTAACCTCCGACGCTGGCACCAAAGGCGCCCCCTCGAAGGTCGGGAGCGGGAGCTCCAACCCCAAACCACAACGACTCAAGCCCAGGAGCCGGGTTTCGCCTCAGCTGACTCAGTCGGAGCCAACCAGCTACGGCTTGCAACGCCCGGTGCAGATCTTCTGGGCTGGAGTCTGACAGGCCGCCCAACATCAGATAGAGCTGGGTGTCATCCGCATATTGATGCATTGATGTATTAGTGTATTATTGAATTGATACAAATGAATGACAAATGAATGATGGATGGGGGGGAAAGTAATTTTGTAATTTGAAACCTAGTCCCTTGTTGGATAACATAATGATTGCACGATGATCATATTGCTGTTGAGCATGGTAGGATCTGAGCCAAATCCCCCTTTGGCAGCAGAGGCCGAAGGTATCCCACCATGGGGAATCAATCTGATGTGGTAGAATACCATCACTGTGCTTGTGGTGCCTGCCCTATTGAACACAGCCAACACCAAGGCCAGGAGTACACGACATCACAGTTCTGGACAGAGATTTACTTGGAATCCTTCACAGGTCTCACAAGCTGAAACCCTTCTGGTTCTCATTTAGATCATTCTTCAGGAGTGGGTTACCTACAAATGTCAAGAGCCAGTATGGAGTGGTGGTTAAGTGCGCGGACTCTAATCTGGGAGAACCGGTGTAACAGGCCAGATTAACTCCCCGGCCAGAGTAACCCCGGGGTTACTCTGTCCTAGCCTAGAATAACCCCGGAGGGGTTATTCTGTCCTAGGCTAGAATAACCCCAGGTTAATCTGGCCGGCTGTAACAGGCCAGATTCACCCCCCGGCCAGAGGAATCCCGGAGTTACTCTGGCCTAGGTTAGAATAACCCCCCCCCCATTCACCCCCCGGCCAGAGAAACCCCGGGGTTACTCTGGCCTAGGCTAGAATAACCCCCCCAGGCCAGATTAACCCCCCAGGCCTGCTTTCTGGGGCTGCTGTCTTTTCCTACTAAGAGAGATACTTCCCCAATAACCAGAGAGAACCACCTTCTGTTGCCAGAGGCGCTGCCTTTTACTCTTGGGAAACCCCAATACCGAGGGCGCCCCACTTATAACCTGACCCAGAGACCCACAGGACTCAGGCCAAGGAAGGCACCCAAGTCCCATGATGATTATCCTAGTGACTCTGCAAATGACAGCCTGAAGCAGAAGACACTCAAAAGACCACGTGAGGGACCAGACAATGATGACATCAACATCTCACAGAGACGCCAGCAGATGAAGACTTTCAACCCACTACCAAGTTCTGTAAGAAAGCATCTTAGAACCACTCTTGGCCTTTCATTTGTAAAGCTTGTGTACTGTGGACGCACAAGGGAGCTTGGGCATCCACGACGTATGTATAAAACCAAAGGTGATGGGAACTGCTACTTCGGGGCCATCAGCTACATCCTG